TTGAGTACTTCTTAAACCCACACAAAAGAATCAAAGAATCATGTAAAACCCAGTAAACTTGAGATTATGACTTGTGACATTAGAGCAAAACATACTGTATGAATATGATAACATATGTATAACACTAAATTGAACAATACTGATTGAACAATACTGATTATTGATTACAATACTGATACAAACACCGATGAATGGTACACCACCAAAAAAATCTTCAGCTTTTGGTTTTATTGTTCATCAAAAAAAAAAAAAGCAAATAGTGTTAAATGCTGTTTAAATGAATTCTAATTTTAAAATGTACATTTTAGATAAACTTTCTAATTTGAATAAACTTTATATACAACAAAATAAACTTTACATGAAATAAATATAAAAAGTTATTTTTTTGTAGTTTTGTATTTCCTACAGGGCAGGGGAAGGGAAGAGGTATGTACAATGGAAACATAAGTTTCTAAGCAGTTGTACACATCTAAATGTTTTTTTTTGTTTTTTTTTGCATTCAGAATAGGTCCAGATAGATTTCAGCCTATAGGTATGCCTACATTGGATGGCCAATTTTTTCACATTTTGTGTATTTTCAAAATACAAAATACTGTATTTGTATTTAAATAAATTTTTCCACACAGCATTTTGTATTTTTATTTTAAATACATTTTCATGTATTTATGCCCATCTCTGCCAGTGTTAATATGAAGGATTTTTCCATATTGATTTTTTACAGGTGTTTTATCTGTTTTTTGAATTACACATTGCATTATGCAGTAATTTCATAACCATTTTTCAAATTAATAATAATAAAGAACTATGCCAAACTATTTAACGAATTTTTTATATCACACAGATGTGGTTGAAGAGTAATGTATAATTGTTTGTTCCGTGCTTAGTTGTTTTGGATGAGAGAACGTTCTGTGATTTTCACGTGTCTGGTTTCAGGGAGCTGAATTTCCGTAACTTCACTCTGATTCAGCTGAATGAGGAGTTTTCTCGGGGTCGAGGGCTGGATGTGGGCGCTCGTGCTTGGAAGGGAGGCAATGTGCTGCTCTTCTTCTGTGACGTGGACATCTTCTTCACAGCCGACTTCCTGAACACATGCCGTCTGAATGCCCAGCCAGGTGAGTCGCTATATCGATCCATACACAGCTGAGCCAATTTGGCCATTTGCACACTTAAATAATGGCTTTGCATTAGAAACAAAATATTGAACCAATTGGCATCTGACTCAAATGCTGCTAGAGAGTTTCTCAGAAATAACTTCCTTTTTTGGAACCACTTCTGCATTGACTTTTAAACTGTTGTCACAGTTTTTAGTACAGTAGATGTATGAATTCACTTCTCCAAGTGTGGCCTAATAGACTAACCACAGGTGTAGAGAATCACATTAACTATCAACATCATCAGCAACAATTGACAAGCATGTTGTTTAGGTGTTCAAATACTCTGTTCTATGATTTAAAACCTTCTTATTGTGAAATTTTTGCTTGAATAGTGAAAGTGAAGTGACGTGTAGCCAAGTATGGTGACCCATGCTCAAATGCTCTGCATTTAACCCATCCAAGTGCACACACACAGCAGTGAACACACACACCGTGAACACACACCTGGAGCAGTGGGCAGCCATATTGCTGCTGCACCCAGGGGGCAGTTGGGGGTGCGGTGCCTTGCTCAAGGGTCTCACCTGAGTCGTGGTATTGAAGGTGGAGCAGAGCACTATACATTCACTCCCCCCACCTACAATCCCTGCCAGACCTGAGACTCGAACCCGCTACCTTCGTGTTACAAGTCCGACTCGCTAAAAAATTAGGCCACGTCTGCCCCATAGTGCACTGGTGCTACCATTGTTTAAAATAAATGACACTTGCTTTGATATTTTGTTATATACGTTAAGTGTGGCTTAAATGTCCAATTACTTTTTGTTGCCATCATCGTATGTGCTGCCATTCAAAAGTTTGTGGTCAGTAAGAATTTTTTTAAGTAATGAATACTTTTATTCAGCACGGGCGCATTAAATTGATCAAAGGTGACATTAAAGACATTTCTTTCATTTATAATTAGAATGATTTCTGAAGGATCATATGACACTGAAGAATGATGTTGGAAATTCAGCTTTGCATCGCAGAAATAAATTACATTTTAAAACTAGGGCTGTCAAGTTATTACAATGTTTAATCTAATCAATTACATATCTGATCAATTAATCAAATTATTCGCATACTAATCACACATCAATTTTGGCTGAGAAATTGCCCCCCAAAAGATACTTTAAAGTCATTGTTGTGTTAAATGAGAAAAGCATTGAATAGACATTATAAAAATAGCTTAAGAAAAAAAAATATATTGATTGAACATTGAATTTATTACACATGCATTTTTAAGGCTACAATGTTTTCAGTAAAAAAAACTAAAACCGCCACTAGTTGAAGGCAAGTCACCGTCTTAATGAGAGAGTCATCCATTCAACCGATTCATTTGAACTGCTGATTCATTCAGAAATTCAGCAAGAGACTGTCTTTATGAATTGCTCACTGAATCATTGATTCGCTTGATTTGTTTAAAAATATGGATTCATTCAGTAATGTGTGTTGCTTGGAGACACACAACAGTTCTGCTGAGGCTTTGTTTGGTAAAACTGAGCAAAAATAAACAATATTGTGTCTAAAATATCACATAATATTAACTTCTTGTTTATTTATAAAATATTATGTTCATAATCATCACATTTGCATTCATGCTTTTCAGGGCAAAACCCGCACTCTTGCAAATGTGACATTGCTATATCATATGATATCAATTCAGGGGCATTTTTTGCCCTCAAATCTTGATTTTAGGGCATGTAAACACATTCTCTCTGTAACGTTGGGAGGCTTGACAGTGCAGTAGTGGATCCAAGTGCAGGCTTTATTCAAAAGAGTGGTCAAACAGGCAGGGTCACACACCAGCAAACCGGTACAATCCAGGATGAGACAAGAGTAATCCAATAAACAGGCGAAAGTCAGGACAGGCAGCAAATAATCAGAAAACAAGGAAACAGCCCAGGGATCAAAAACCACAAAGACAGGGAAACACGGGAACTTGGGAACGCTACAGGATAAACAATACTGAGCAATGAACGAGTGAAAAACAAGGCGTTAAATAGGGTGAGACTGATGGAGGTAACAAGACACAGGTGAATGCAATCAGTGATCAAGAGTCCAGGCAAAGGATTATGGGGAATGTAGTTAGTGAAGGAGTGACAACAGTCTGGGGTGGAGTGCCCTCTGGAGGAGCTCATGGGCACTCCAGCTGGTGATCGTAACACTCATAGGCTACATCATGCTTCGATGTTGCCCCTCTTCATGTTCGTCAGCAACTGCATGCAATAAGATGTCATACAGGTCTGGGCAGGGGGCATTAAATGTGTTAATCATTTTAACGTGTTATTTTTCCCATAATTAATCTCACCAAATTAAATCAGCAGCTCTATTTAAAACATTTAAATACGAATCTGTTTTCAAATTGTAATAATATTTCACAATATTACTGTTTTTACTGTATTTTTGATCAAATAAATGCAGCCTTGATGAACATAAGAGACTTATTTAAAAAACATAAAAATCTTACTGACCCCAAACTTTTGAATGACCATCTAATGAAGTGTTTAAATGAGGAATATATGCTGTGCTCGTATCATAAACAGCTGTGTGATCACCTTGTTTTAGGAAAGAAAGTGTTTTACCCCATTCTCTTCAGCCAGTACAACCCAGCTGTAATCTACGGCAGTCATGATCACGTCCCCCCTGTGGAACAGCAGCTGGTAATGCAACTCATTTTCATGAGGAGATTAAAATGCTTCATCAAGTTTGATGTGATTAATTGCCGCATTGTGATGGAACAAAATCATCTCAGTCGTCTGGCATTGATATTCTGAACACATAGATAATAAAGAGCCTGATTAAATGCAGGCTTTATTCAAAAGAGTGGTCAAACAGGCAGGGTCACACACCAGCAAACCGGTACAATCCAGGATGAGACAAGAGTAATCCAATAAACAGGCGAAAGTCAGGACAGGCAGCAAATAATCAGAAAACAAGGAAACAGCCCAGGGATCAAAAACCACAAAGACAGGGAAACACGGGAACTTGGGAACGCTACAGGATAAACAATACTGAGCAATGAACGAGTGAAAAACAAGGCGTTAAATAGGGTGAGACTGATGGAGGTAACAAGACACAGGTGAATGCAATCAGTGATCAAGAGTCCAGGCAAAGGATTATGGGGAATGTAGTTAGTGAAGGAGTGACAACAGTCTGGGGTGGAGTGCCCTCTGGAGGAGCTCATGGGCACTCCAGCTGGTGATCGTAACACTCATAGGCTACATCATGCTTCGATGTTGCCCCTCTTCATGTTCGTCAGCAACTGCATGCAATAAGATGTCATACAGGTCTGGGCAGGGGGCATTAAATGTGTTAATCATTTTAACGTGTTATTTTTCCCATAATTAATCTCACCAAATTAAATCAGCAGCTCTATTTAAAACATTTAAATACGAATCTGTTTTCAAATTGTAATAATATTTCACAATATTACTGTTTTTACTGTATTTTTGATCAAATAAATGCAGCCTTGATGAACATAAGAGACTTATTTAAAAAACATAAAAATGTTACTGACCCCAAACTTTTG